GAGAGTAATAAAATATATATATAACTTCTAAATATCTCTCTAAAGATATATAAAACGCGTAGATACTTTATTATACTTTTTTCTATATAGTTTCTAAGTTAAATTCTAGCTTTTTACTTTTATACTTTTATATAAGATTAAAGAGTATTAAACTTTATAGCTTAGTTTTAATTTCTAAAACTTTTAAAAGAATATATACTACTATATACTATAAAATAAGATATTAAGAAAATACACTTATATTATAATTATATACTATATTACTTAACTACGTTATACTTATATTTCTACACTAGTATATTAAATAAGGTTATAAGTATAACTACATAACTACTAATAATAATAATAAAAACTTATTTTTCTCTCTTTCTTACTAATATACTCTACTAATGTACTAATTTATATTATTATCTACTATTTTTCTTAATTTTTTATTATTATTCTTTACTATATATTATTAACGCTACTTATTATAAGCGCGTATATAAGCGGGTATATATTTATATTAGTTAGCTAATTTAATCTAAAGAAGGTATTCTAAAAGAGAAAGTCTAAAGAAAGTTTTATATATTAATTAAATAATAGTCTTTACTTAAGTATAAAAGCTTAGAAAGTCTATAAATAGAGTACTACTTAACCTAGCTATAGTAGACTAAATAAGCTACTACTACTACTACTAAAGCTTTAAATAGTAACTATTAGCTAAATACTACTTTATATTTTATAAATTCTCTAGCTTCTTTTAAAAAAAACTACTTTTAGTTATATTTATAAAGTATCTTAAGAGCTTAATATACTAGATACTTTTAATAATATATACTATATAATAACGTATTAAATTAAGATAACTTAGGTTTAGCTTAAAAATATTTTAGAAGCTTAAATAATAGTAAACCTTTTTAAGTTAAAGTATAAAGTAAGTAATAGTACTTACAAAGAGAGTAGTATTAGTTATATACTTTAAAGTTTTTTAATATTAAGTACGCGTATTTATAGGCGCTATTTTAATATAGTAAGTATTACCTAGCGTTAAATACTACTACTTTAGATAAGAAAAAAATAAAAATAGTAGAATTTTTATTATTATATATAAATATCTCTTTAACTATACTCTCTATAACTATAAAAATATATATAGCTATATTATATAGTATTAGCTTATTAATTCTTCTACTTCTATAGTTTCTTTAAAAGTATTTAAGAATTTACCTAAGTTAACTAATATATATATAATAAATTATATTACTACTAGATAGATATAATATATTTAAAGTTATACTTTAGTATTATATAGATATTCTTTTACTACGCTTATATAGCTAATAGTATATAAGCTTTTTAGATACTATTTTATAGTAGTATATTAGTTAGCTTTAGTACGCCTAGTTATAAAGGTAGTATTTAGCACTAGTTAGTAGAACTTTAGTAAAGCTTTAAATAGTGTTTACAAAAATCTAGATTTTCTATTTTAATTACTTTTTTATAATCTATAAGTTTAAATTAAAGTACTTATTATTACTTAAAATATAGATTTATAAAAGAATAGTAATATACTCTAATAAGTAAAGCTTAAGACTTTAGAAAAAAAAAAGAAAAAGAGTAACTCTATAGTACTTAAAGTTTAGTTTAAAGTATAGTATATTTACTAGTAAAATTTTATTACTACTAGTAAAGATTTTAAGTATACTCTTAATTAAAAAAATATTATATACTATTAAGCTCTTATTTCTTAGTACTAGAATTAGATACTATAGATCTTAACTATAGTAAAGAAGCTTTTTAGAATTAAAATAGAGATACTTCTTACTTTATTTACTATTAATCTATCTATCTCTATTTTTTTTTTATTTTTTTTTTAGAGTCTTAAGCTTTTACTTATTAAAGTATACTACTATTTTATTAAAAATTCTATATTTTTAGTAATAATAAGTACTTTACTCTATACTTATAATCTAGAATAAGGTAATTAAAAAGTTATATTTTTTAATCTATCTCTATATTCTAAGTAGATTGTATATAAACTTATAATTCTTTATAATAATAATAATAATAATAATAATAATAATAATAATAATAATAATAATAATAATAATAATAATAATAATAATAATAATAATAATAATAATAATAATAATAATAATAATAATAATAATAATAATAATAGTAATAATAATAATAATAATAATAATTAATTACTATAGTACTAATATAAGTAATATAGAGAATTTAAATAATAGAGTAAAACTAATAGTTAAGTTAGCTTAATACTAATTATTCTATAGACTATTAATATATATATAGCCTATTAATTAGCTTATAGTAGAATCTATAATAGTCTAGAAGAGAATTAGAACTATTTTTAAAGCTATTCTAATATATAAGAGCTAATTTATTAGACTACTAGATAACTATAGTTTTTTTATTACACTATAAGTATATTACTACTACTTCTAATTTTAGAATTCTTCTAAGCTTTTAAGTAATTATAACTCTAATAAAAGTAGTTATAGTATTTACTTCTTTAAAGAGACTACGTATAATATAGTAGTACTACTAGATATTATCTATATATTATTAGTAGTAATAAATAAGTTAAAATAGAATCTAAAGTTTTTAATATAAAAATATAAAAATAAAAAGTATAAGTACATAGTAAGAGATATTTAAGTCTAGACTTAGCTTTAATATTATAAAGAGTAATTAAGTATTTAAAATATAGAGTAATATTATAAAATATAATATAGTAGGCTCTATCTCTAAAGTCTTAAAAGACTAAGTACTTCTTATATCTTTATAAACTTTAGATATCTAAGTACTACTTTTTTATAACTTAATATAAACTAATATCTTTTTTAAAAAATTAATATTTAACTTTATTACTACTATTAAAGCAACTACTATAGCTACTACTAAGATAGCTAATTTTAGCGCGTTTTTAAAATATTATCTATATTTATAAATTATAAGATATACTATATTAAATAAGCTAATTAATAATAATTATAGTAGCTAGAGCTAAAGATTAAGAAGTATAGTTTTTCTTAACTATATAGAAGTATTATATACTACTTTATATATATATATATATTATTCTTAAGCTTAAACTAATACAAGATAGACTTTTTTATAAGAGGTAGATAGTAGTTACTATTTATATAGTAAGTATACTATTTATACTATTAGGTTTAGACTTCTTAACTACTAAAAAGATTTTTATAGTACTAAAGTATAAGTAGCTTAAAGCTCTAGACTTCTAGATTTATAATAGTTAAGCGCTAATAGTAATATAATAAAGCTTTATTAATCTTACTCTAAAGTATTAGTATATTATATAGAAGTATAAAGCTTTTTAGATTTTATATTAAGTATATAACTATAAAACTACTAAAAAACAAATAGTAGAGTATATAAAAGGCTATAGTAAAAGCTATAAACTTATTAGTATAAATAAAAAGTAAGTAGCTAAGTAATAGTAATTATAAATAGTAAGTATAGTAGTTATATATTATAGCTACTAATATAGCTAAACTTAAAAGTTTTTTATATATATAATATAAGTTACTTATAATTATATAAGTAGAATAGAAGTATTTTAAGTTATCTTAAGTTATTCTAAAGTCTTTATACTAGTAATAAACTTACTTAGTTTTCTTTTAGTCTTCTATAATTATATAAAACTAGTACTTTATCTAGTTAATAGTTTATATAGCTATTAGTAAGATTTAATAAATCTAAAGTAGTTAGGTTATTATAATAATATATATAGTAAATATTATATTAGTAGTAGTATAAGTATAAGTATTATAAGCTATAAATCTAAGCTTATATTAAAGATTTATTAAAGTTTACTTTTAAAGTCTAAAATAGTTAAGCGTTATAATATAATAATATAATTATTTAATTTTTTAAAGAAGTACTCTTTAAGCTCTCTCTTTTAGATATAGAGAGATAATTTATAGCTATAAGTATAGTAGTCTACTATAAGCGCGTAATATATATCTAACTCTAGTATTAAAGCTATAGTATACTTTATATCTATATTTTTAAATATAAGCTTTTAAAACTATATTATTATAAATACTACTATTAAACTCTATATTTCTTAGACTAGCTTATAGTGTAGAATTCTTTATTACTAATAAAGAAACTTAGCTACTATCTATAGTAAAGCTAGAAGTAGAGTAGCTTTAACCTATCTAGAATTATATTATATAATAAATAGATTAATTTATTATACTTTTTATATATATTAGGTAAGTAATTATAATAATTAAAGAAACTTTTTTTCTAAGATATATTTATATATAAAAATAAATACGCTAGTCTACTTAGTAAAGCGTAGATTACTAAAATAGCTAAGCTTTATCTTATATTATATAAAACTTTACTAATTATAAAATAGAAGAAGCGCGCTTTTACTAAGACTTTAGTATATATATTCTAACTATAAAGCTTTAAAATATATTACTTTATTAGTTATAAGCTAATAAGTATATATAATTAAATTATAATCTTCTTAAAGTATTAAAAGTTAAGATTCTTTATTAAAGTATATTAGTATTAAAATAGCTTTTTAGCTAGCTTAAAAAATTTAAAAGCTTTAACTACTTTAAAAGTAGTAGTACTAAAGTTTAAATTTTAGCTTACTTAATACTATAAATTTAAAAGTAAGTAAAACTTCTAGTTATATATTTTTTAGTATACTAGTAATAGACTTTTTCTTTTTAGAACTAGCTTATAAACTATAGAATTAATACTTTATTAATAAAACTTTACTAAGTACTTTTCTTTTAAAAAAAGAGGCTTATAAATATAAAGTAAAGTAGTTTATTCTTTTAGTTATTTTTCTAATTGTTTAGAAGATTAATCTAAAAGCTTTTTTCTAAAGCTTCTAGGTATATAAGAGCTTTACGTGTATATTCTTTATTCTAATCTTATTTCTCTACTTTGCGACGGGATAACCGTAGTACAAGGTTAAGGACGAGTTCTGAAGGTGCCATCTAAACACCGCTATGTACGCTCTGCATGTGGTTGTACGTCTCGCCTCCGCTGCTAAGCGTCTTCATGCAGAACCAGCAGATGTGTGCCTGGCACGAGGTGCATGTCATGTGATTGCAACCATCCGCTTTCTCGATCGGCACCCCGCACTTTGGGCAGTCTCGTACATCATGGTCTTTCTTCCATTTCGTGAGCTTCTCGTCTTCCTCCATGGCAGCTCTCATCAGAGCTTTGTTGGTCTCACAAGTGTGCCCGTCATGGGGTCCTTGGTGGCAGCTAGTGCAGATGGAAGTGAGGCAGCCGTCGCAATCAAAGATTCGAGGGTTCTCAGCGCTTGAGATCCTGTAGAAACGATCGCAGTCGGGTGTAGAGCAGTAGTGAAATTCCGTGGGTCGGCTACGAAGGTATGACGTCAGGGATGTCTGGAGAAGATCATCGTATTCCGTTCCAGAAAGAACCTTCTTGACGTCGGAGAGATACAATGGAGCGTCACAAACAGCGTCCTCACCGAGACATTTGACCGGGAAAGAGTCGGCAAACGTGCATTGCGAAACCAAGCAGGAGTTGCAATACGCGTGGCTGCAAAACGTCTTGATAGGGTCTTCCGGTGGGGTGAAGCAGACCGGGCAGAGTAGCTCGCCGTCGTCCTCGCTGTTGGATAGCCCGGCGGTTTGCGTTTCCAATGAAGACGATGTACACGATGCGAGAATCTTCTGTACCTGGACCGCATCTTCCGCGGAGCCTTCGACGATAATTCGCTTTGGGGTGTTGATGATGTCTAGCTTCACTTTGTCCTTCCCTAAAGCGGCGACAACATTTCGAAATCCACCTTTGAGGGCAAATGCCAAAGCCTCGGGATGAAGAATGACGGTGTGAGACTGCTCCCTCAATTCTGCACACTTAGCCACCAGAGCACTTTCGACTCGTTCGATACCCATGTGATCTCCGTATAGTCGAAGGACTGATCGACGTGAATCTTGGTGGATGAAGACCCCATGTGAGGCTCCCAGATCGTTCAGAAAGTTCTTTGACGAAGGCCTGAAGTAGAATGGATCTGTGATCGGGCCATGTCCGTCGGTGGCGATCTGACCAGCAAGGAGCTTCTCCACGGCCGACTTGGCTTTGGCAACTGGTTCTCTGGACTGGCCGAAGATGCGGACTTGGGTGTATTGTTTGCCCAGAGTCTTGTAGCTCTTGATTTGAACGTAATCCGTTCGCCATATTTGGTCGACTAGAGGGTCAAGCTGTGGTCCAATGGCTGCTAGGATTCGAGAGGAGACCGACAGTTTGATGGAAACCAGAGGAGTGACCTGCATCTTTTGTTCGAGCTGGGATCGAGAATAGTTTCGTGCATCTTCTTGACCGCATTTCGTGCTGCCTCTGCTTCGCTAAACTTGGCGATGATCTTCGTTCTACTTCCTCCCTTTTGGGGATGAGGAATACACTCTTCGATGAGGGTACCGTGCGATCGAAGTTGCGTGATAGCTCTTTCCTCTAGTTGCTTCGCAGTGAGATTGTGAGAATGAGGTCCCCAAGTCACCTTAGTGGGCGGTGGATAAGGAAGAAAGCGTCGAAGTCCCGCTTCATTCGTGTTCAGGTCTAGATTGCCTATTTGCAAAGACCGAACTGGTTGATAGGTGACATCGAGCTTCCGGCCCTGGAATTCATTTGAATTCGGGCGCTCCATGCGCTCGAGCGCCCGCTTCGCTTTCCAGTCTGCGTCATATTCGAGATAAGCCACCTTAGAAGGATTGAACCATGAACATGTTACGCTGGTGAGCTGAAGCCGATTCATTCCGGATGCTGTCTCTCCTGCAACTTGCATTTTCGATGCGCGAAATTCGAAATCCCCAAGACGAACCGGAGTGTTCTGAAGACACTGGAGAAGCTTGTTGGCGAAGCCTGGATCACGGACTTTGATCACAGCTGTCTTATGGAGCTTCTCAGGGATGTGTCTGAAGGGAACACAATCGTGAGTCACCTGGGGAAAGCCCCTGTTGATCAAGAAGTCGACTAGATCCTGTACAGATGTATGTGGCGATAGGTCGGATGTGAACACGGCGGAGAAGTCCGATATCAAAGAGATCTTAGAAACAGATGCACCGTTGGCGAACTCCACGGTAGCCCCTCCGATCGTCCTTGGTATTTCGGTCTCATCATGCTCCTTGGAGGAAGGATCGGCGCGCGCCGAACTGGGTGCAGTGAGGCCGACGTCTTTGATGGGCGTGTGATCCGACAGCGTCTTCGGCATGCCTAGATTCTCTCGAATCTCATGACTGAAGGGACATTGCTCGCCCATATTACAGATGCCCCTCTGGAAGTACCTACACTGTATACTCGGCCTGGTATCCCTCGATGCAGAACGGAAGTCTGTAGATGTAACTGTGGTCGGATTTGAATGCTCGAAATTACAGAAGTGTCCCTTAGTACATGTGCCTTGGAGATAGAATTTGCAAGGTATCTTCGCTCTTGGAACAGAGCCGCCCGACTGCGAACGGGTAACAGGTTCCGCTTTGCGTTCGGAGGAGGGGGGGTTGGAGACCGTATCGGGATGGTGGAAGCGACACGTCGACCCGTTGACGCAACGTCCAGCGACGAAGAAGTGGCATATCTTGTTCGCCATTTTCGAGAAGGCGTGGTAAGGCGGGGTTCGAGTTTGGGCTCCAGCGTCGTTTTGCTCAAAGTTCGAATGGACTGTGTAACGTCAAGTAGGCCAATCGCACATTGCGGCGCCGGGCCAACTTCATCATGTGACGTAGTATCACGCGTTTTAGGCAGCAGCGATACGCGCCTAGTAAAAATTACCGTATGCAGCAGAACGAGTATGACGCATAGCTCGCTTGATTATCGCCCGCACCGGGGTCACCCGCTAAGTACCTTTCTACTCACTTACATTGTTCCATTTCGCTATCAAGCGATACTGTTAGCGTAGGTGGTACGTTCATCAGTGGGTTATCAAACGACGGTCTGCTTCGCGACCATAAGCCTGCCCTCCACTCCGACATGGCTTTTGGAGTCAGTTCTCTGGTAGCGAGGTTTGGGGGGAAAAGATTCCCAGTGAGCCTTAGGTACCAAGGCGCAGAGGTTGCAGAGCTCAACCCCGTTGGCTCGACATTGTTCAGTCGAGTGGTCGCAGCGGAGCACGTCGAGAACGCACGGTTTCTACTTGACACCCAGCGTTAGCGGGTTCTGTTCGCAGCAGAAGCAGACACAAGCTTGCACACCGCCGTGTCCGGCTCCGGGCATCGAGACATGTTCAAACTCATCGTCTCGTACGTGAGCCAGATGGATGAAAAGGAGTCTTTGCTTGAAGCCAGAGATGAATCAGGCTACACGCCCTTTCACAAAGCTGTGCTAGTTTGGAGAAGCCAGAACACCCTGAAGATCCTTGAAGAGATGGGGGCCAACATTGAAGCAGTGCATGGGGAGGGTGAGACCCCACTGCAGACCGCCGTTCGCAACCAGAACGCTGGCTTAGTCTTACATCTTCTTCGAAGTGGCGCCAAGCCTCAAGTCAAGTCGAAGGATGGACTGGATATCTTAGAGCTTGCTGAGGTCTCCTTCTTGAAGAAGTTCGTCGAACACAGGAAAGCGGGAAAGAACAAAGCTGTGTATTTGTTAGCCTGCGACAGAGACGACAACTATTTCCAACGGTCTAGCAGGACCATGGAGGAGGTTGACATGGCCAAGATCGACGTGATCAAGACACTGCTTCAGTCTTGTTTATCGGGACGACTCTTCAGTCATGCGCAAAATGAGCAGCGCGTCTAGAGAACATTGGGTGGTGTAACGTTAGTGAAAACGCTTCTCTGTCATGTTACTTCGGTATGCGGTCAATGACGCAGACTGCTACATACTCTCAATTTTAGTCCCCTTCCTACAGTCACTTTCAAATAGCACGAGTATAGCTTGATCGCAAGGATGCAAATAAAAAACGTCAAATTCTAGGGTATCGTGTCTCATCTAAACTAAGTGTTGTACAAATGCGCAGTCTAATGCCTCCATCCAATCATTACGTTCATTTCCTGTTCTCAGCTACGCTCGCGTCATCACCGACCACGACGATCGCTGGCGCAGCACCAGCTTCAGCCTCGCTCTCCTCACTCTTCGTCTTCTTGAAGGTGAACAAGGTCTTGACCTTGCTCATACCCGTGCAACACCATCGATACACGACGACGACAGGCTTGCCGACAACACGCGCGATGGCAGCGAACCACTCATCGGGGAAGTATCTGATGAGTACTGCCCATGGAATGCAGACAAAACCGACGACGATGCTGATAGCCCATTGTGTACCATCGATACCTCCTGGCTTGATCTGGAATGCGCGACCACCGACAAAGACGATGAGAACCTGGAGGCCGATGATCATGACAACGATGCCAATGAAGAACCAGTTCCTGAATACACCCTCGAGCACGTTGAGCTTGTTGTCCAGACGCCTGTTGTTGAAGATGTTGAAGATTTGCATCCAGACGAAAGCGTTGAAGATGACGGTGTCGAGCTCGAGTTGCTTGTTGGGGTCGGAGAGGTCGTAGCCAAGGATGTCGCCGCCAGCGAAGTATAGCACGAAGATGACAGTGATCTTGTAGATGTTCTGGCCCATTATTTGCTTCCACATCGTTGTTGTGATGAGAGGGCCTTTGCCCTGCGGTGGGCGGTCGAGGATCTTCTCAGTCGGTGGGTCGGTAGCGAGGGCGAGGGCGGCGAAGGTGTCCATAATGAGGTTGACCCAAAGAAGCTGTACGGCTCTGAGGGCTGGCTTCATCTCGTCATCGTAGACCGCGGTCACGAACGCGAGGACCACAGCAGTGATGTTGACAGTGATTTGGAACTACGTTTGTTAGCTGGCTGGAATGAACTGGAAGATCGTGTATGGCTTACTTGGAGGAACTTCTGGACGGCGTCGTTGACAGCCCTACCCCACATCAACGCGGTGATGATGGAGGCAAAGTTGTCGTCCATGAGAATGATCGAAGAGGCTTCCTTGGCAACCTCAGTGCCAGAGACCATGGAGAAGCCAACGTTGGCTGCTTTCAGTGCTGGGGCATCGTTGGTACCGTCACCGGTCACAGCGACAATCTCGCCAAGGGTCTTGAGACGCTGAACAAGGATGCGCTTGTCTTCAGGCGATGAGCGGGCCAGCACCTGTAGTCGCGGCAGCACCTCATCGAGCTGCTCTTCAGTAAGGCGGCGGAAGTCTGGTCCCTCCATTACCAACCCGCCCTCGGTATAGATCAGGCACTCAGTCGCGATCGCTCGCGCAGTTTGCATGTTGTCACCGGTAACCATCCTGACCGTGACACCAGCCTTCTGTGCCTTGCGAACAGCCTCGGGCACACCAGGGCGAACGGGGTCCTGAATACCAACTAGCCCGAAGAATGTAAGATCGCGCAGCAGGGAGGCGAAGTCGACACTGCCACCCTCAGTGAGCGTGGCGTTGACCGGTGGCCATTGCTCGAAGTCGCGGTACACTAGTCCGATAGTCCTGAGAGATCGGTTCGCGTATGCGTTGATCGCTTCGGTCAGTACCTGGCGGTGCTCTTGCGATAGCGACTCTGTCTCCAGTGACTCGAAATGCGCAAATGCAGAGGCAAAGCTGAGGAGGATCTCAGATGCACCCTTGACGACGAGGCGGTAGTGTCCGTTCGGAAGCCTCACAACGGCACCCATGCACTTCTTAGCCGAGTCGAAGGGGAACATGTGTACCACCTGCTCGCTGTCGCGGGTCTCTGACAGCGAGACGAGTCCGAGATGTTCCTTGGCGAGCTCAAGTAGCGCAGTCTCAGTCTTGGATCCGACGAAGACAGACTTGCCGTCCTCTTGGCCTTCGAAAGCTGTAGAGTTGATTGCGATGGACTGGATGAGAAGCTGCTTTGCAGCAGCCGAGACCTTAGATGCCCATGCCGAAATGGTTTGGTCCTTCTCTGAGGCGGCGTCCGCGTGAACGAAGCTGGTGGTGCCGAAAGTGCCGGCAACGACCGTCATTCGGTTTGTTGTCTGTGAGGTATTAGCATATGTTCGTGTCCAATCGAGAGATAGCACTTACCAAAGTACCGGTCTTGTCTGAGCAAATGGCTGTAGCATTGCCCATAGTCTCACATGCGCGCAAGATTCTGACAAGGTTGTTCTCCTTCAGCATTTTGGTCGTCGCAAAAGCCAGCGCCAGCGTGACTGCTAGTGGGAGACCTTCTGGGACTGCTACCACGATAATGGTAACAGCAACGATGAGGATATCCATAAACGCTGAACCTTTCTGAGATGCAGATCGGGTATCACCAGATAGCCCACCAACAAAACGGAAGAGAAGGACAAAGAAGAGGAGACCAGCAGCTGCAGTTCCGAGGTAAGCGATAGCCATGGCAAGCTTAGCGAGCTTCGCCTGTAGTGGTGTCTCCTCGATCTCGACGCGGACAGACATCATGATGCGGCCAAAGCTGCTATTCTCTCCGACAGATGTCGCCATGAAAGTACCGACGCCCTCGAGAACCTTTGCGCCGGAGATGACGAAGGGGTCAAGGCCCTTGGTGGACTGACCGGACTCAAGTGCTTTCATGACAGCGGCACCTGGTGTCTTGCGCATGGCGTCTGATTCTCCCGTAGCAGAAGACTCGTCGCACTTGACGTCGGAGCCATCCACAAAGATTCCGTCGACTGGAATGACATCGCCAGGCTCCAGGTGTATGATGTCGCCGGCTAGGACGTCGTAGATGCTGATCATAGCGGTCTTTCCCGATCGTGTGACTTTGATATCGCGTTGTTCCTTCTTCGCGTTGAGCTTTGCGAATGCTGCTTCCTTTTGCCAGTCATTTACGGCGGTGACGAGTACAACGATGACGATAGCTACTACAATTGCGCAACCCTCGACCCAGTCGACAGGTGTGGGAGATCCCGGTGGATGTTCCGCACCAAACGTTTCGTAGAGTCCGAGTGCTAGCGAGATGGCAGCTGCAACAGTAAGAACTATGAGTACAGTGTCATTGTACGCGTTCCAGACAAGTCTCCATAGAGGGGTGACCTTCTTCGGTGGTAGTACGTTCCGTCCGTGTATGCGTATGCGATCCTCGAAGGGCTTTCCGTCACTTGGCGGTCGACTTGATTCTTTCTCCTTTGTAGGTGTCTGTGGATTTGTTGCTTCGTCGAAGGAAATGTGTCTCGCAACTGTCGATTCGTCGGCACTCAGACCGGAATGAGTGTCTGATTGTAGTCCGGCTGCGATACCGTGGATGCCTCCCAATGCTTGATATACAGGAAGCGATTTGGGGTTCAACAGTTTGCTGAGCTGTGATGGTGTGAAGGCGAAGGGGTTGTTCGTGTCGGCTTTAGCTTCAGCGCGCAACTCATTTTGCAACGCTGCATCGTAGTCTCCTACTACCGTCGATGCACCACTTGTGGACGCATTGCTTGGTGATATTGGTGTCCGGAAGGGGTCTGATGTTTGTGATGTGACCGTGTCTGCCTGACTCAGAGCACGCTGTCGCGTGTTGATTTGGAGTGTCGGAGGGGCAAGTTTGCCGGACTCCATATTTGAAGTATGATAGTGATAATGCAAATGGACCGCTGGAAAGATGCAGTTGATGATCGTAGTTTAAAGAAATAGAAACTATGTGATAACAGTATAAGAGCTGGATTGTAACAAGGCGGAGGACGGAAGCCTCTCAAGCTGCCATATACTCTTTCAAGGTTGAAGCGGGCTGTGTAAGTGTGGGCCACCCCAAGACTGCCAGGCGCTTGGTGCGCGATATTGGTCTACCTGATGTGATACGTACTCCGCCAGAGCCTCGCTTGGCACCTAGTAGCCTCCTGAGGAACGATCATTCCGCGGCGTTTTTTTGCCTTCGCGGCCTAGGTGACATCTACACATCGAACACTTGGTAGAATGACCGAGAACTCAGCCCTCCGCCTACGTCGCTTCGATGGTTGAGCTGTAGACTTGTCGCCAAGGAGGCGAGATTTGATGCTTTTGGCCACTAACGGCGTTCATAGCGAGATGAGCGGCTGTCAAGAAGTCCGGTGGTCTTGGAAGGGGGCAGTGCAAACCCCATCCGAGCGCAATGAAGCGCGGAGGCCCTCAGCGTCCGCTTCCATCACATCGCTATGGACGACTGCACAAAGACTGTTGAAACAGAAACAAGGTGAGAAGAAGGAACAAGCGATAGTCTGAAGTCACGATTGAGTGTCGCTTCGATGTCCAACGTGCAGATCAGGACGAGGCTAGCAGGGCTTAACCTGCGCCACGGTGGCGCCACTGAGGCTTTGCTCGTCGCTTAGCCATCTTTGGTTTAGCTTACTCGACTCTCAGCTGCTCCAGCCTACCTATACAACATCTCTGCCTGGGGCTGTCATCAAGAGATCAGGTATTCAGCCTTCTGCTCGTGTCGCTTCGAGGTGACAGGGACGTAGACGTATAGGACCTTGTCGATAGTCCATGTAGAGACTCGCCTCCCATGGGCACCTTGAACCAGAACCCCGATAGCATGATCGATTAGGCCGATAGAACTTTGGATCGCACATCGCCGTCTGAATCTCTTGAACATGCTTTGGAAGGTCTCATCCGTGGGCATATGCCCGATGAAACTTCCATGTCTCCGTCGAGACATGCTTTGCCGCCTCAGGCTAACTTGACATGACGTCCAATCACAATTGACCAGCTGCACTCATCAGATTCTGCCTTGTCTTGGAAAGCGCCTGTTCGGTCTTATGTCGTGCGCATCTCGTCACACCCTCCGCTCAGTAATCTCAGCGGGGCAAGAATGACAGCGACGATGAGAAGCGTGTTCTGGGCGTGCGCATCAAGGTGGCCGTCATCGAAGCTAGAAGAGCATTATGGCTGAACCTGTGGCGCAGTCGCTGTGGCGCATTATCTTCGAACACGGGGCTGCCGAGGTTCGACTCATTGGGATCCGGCGACTGCTTTTCGCGAGGAAATTGTCAATCTAGATGGTCGGAGGCGAAGTAGAAAGGAGACGCAAGGATACACCCGAGGAGGTTGGGACATGTCATCAAAGGAGAGAGAGATGATGTCATACGTGGGTGCACAGACTGTTTGCCGCTTGCGACCTGGCAGCTGGACGCTCGTCCTCGCGCATGCCTGATTTCAAGTTTGATTGCGGAAGCCTGGACGGCTATGCTTCGCACTGCGCCCATCTCGCCTTGTCAAGGCTGCAACTTCAACAAAAGACCTTCAGATTATACGACAAAGAGTTTTGGTTTCCGACCGCCTGGATCTCAAAGCACTGTCTCGGCGGATGTCCATTTCACGCCTCCAGTAATCCCTTGTGAAGAATGAACTCGGGATCCACCGCAGGGGCCTTGATATACGGCATATCCCTCGTCTGCTCCAGATGCACGCTGCCATATCGCAGCAGCCCTGCCAACGTACCAGGCGCAGCATCTATACCCTCATTTTCCGGAAGGTCCAGCAACGTGCCAATATGAATCGTTTCGCCCAGCCCTTTGCCATGTGTGATCTTCTGCATCACACTCTGCGTCAACATCCCCCACGTGGCCTTCTTCGCCTTCTCGTACACCGCGTCGGACTCGTCAGCACCCACGCTCATGGCCAAAAGCTTCAAAAAGTCTGCGCTAATATCGAAGCCAAGAGTGTGCTCAGCAGGAAAGTCTTCAGATAGCGCATGCCACAGCAAGACCTTCTCAGCCCAGTAGGTGACGCCATCGAAACCACCGTTAGGCTCTTGCAACCACGTCAAGCGTATCCAGGCGAGGCACTGCCCAATGTACCCGATGAGAGTCGGCTCGTCGACTTTCCACTCCCATTTAAATCCGGAGTCTTGAAGATCCTTGCTATTCATCTGCTTGATGAAGCTGATGAGAGGCGACTGCACCACGCCAGTAAAATCGGTACGTCCCTTCCAGAGCTCCAGGAAGATCAGGTGCCTGTTTCACAGTCAGTCTGATGAATCATGGCTGAGTGGGTATAACGCGCCATTTCTTGATGAACTCGTCGCTTTTTCGAGAGGCGACGACATGATTCGCCATGAACTGCCCATACACCAGTGGCGCAGCGACTGTAAACGGGCTGCTGTCGTCCCCAAGCTGGTCCCAGCAGACTTTGTCGAGGTTGCGGAACACAATGCATCCGACGTCCATCCAAACGCCACCATACGTGTACAGTGCTGCGCCACGCAGGAAATCGGCGCTATGAGGACCTACGTATGGCCCCGTCATCGTACCCTTCACGAAGGTCTCCGGAAGAAGGTCGGTCGATATCCAAGTCAACGCGTGATTTGGCGAGTCTGGTACCGTGTCGAGCACGCGAATCGTCCACCCAGGGCCGTGAAGTCGCACCCAGTTGATGATGTTGCGCTGTGTCCATGTTGGCATCTGCTGTACGCCCGCATGCCAGAACGTCCAAATGTTCTTCTCGGACGTGATGGGTGCATGCTTCGTCAAGGAATCCAGAATCTCGGCATCGGTACGGCTGTCCTTCGACTCCACATATTTTAGCTGTGACTGGTACTCTTCTGGGATCTGGTACGTGGATTCCGCCATGATGCACGTGGAAAGAGGGTCGATGATGCACGTGATGATGCAGTCACCTAGGTATCCAATGCAGCCAAAGGACACTGTATACTTCGTTACGCGACTCGTGGGAGCTAAGGCACGCTTTTATATGGCTCTGAGGGTAGCGATCGGTCAATTGAGCTGCACAGCTCATCCATGCGTTGTGTTTCATTCACGGATTTAACCGCAAACACAGCATGATAGGAAGCAGGGTAAAGTGCAAACATGCATTTATCTCGCGCGCAACGTCGCTCCAAAGCATGACGAATCTGCCAATAGTTCGACAGAAGGGATTTTGGTCCGAGATAAGCGCCAAGAGTAATGTCGTGTAACGGGTTCGACGTTGGTTGTTCGCCATGATCGTCAGCTCGTCATACTGCTTCAGTGTATGACTGCGTTTCAGTAATCTTGACCCTGCGGCCTTCCTGGGCAGACAGGGGGTCATTGTCAGGGTATGTAGGTACTATGGTTGTTGATAAGTCGTGATTGCTGGACATCAGCGGCTTCCTGACCTACGTGCGACAAGGTACGAGTAAAGTCACACCACTTATGCGACTACTACTGCCAATCAAAGGAGTCTTCTCATGGTACTTACCATGATAATATACACACAACAGCTCTATCGTACATCTCAGTCTTCCACCGTTTCCAACCCTACTCCCTCAACCTCAAATGATACGTCTCCAACTGCTCCTCCGTCATGCGATTCGGACTCTTAACCAGCTGGTCCTCTCCTCTCCCGCTCTTCGGGAAGGCAATGACATCCCTCACGCTATCCCTGTTGCACATAACAGCCATCAACCGATCCCATCCCAGTGCGATGCCCGCATGCGGCGGGCAGCCGCTCCTCAACACATCAAGCAGATGCCTGAAGTCCTCTACACGTTCAGGCTTCATCTTGAGAATGTCTTTAAAGATGAACTCTTGCATAGCGGCGGAGTGGATACGGCGACTGCCACCGCCGAGCTCGACGCCGTTGACGACGATGTCGTAATGTGCTGCTACGGCGGAAGAGGGTGAAGTAAGTAGCAGGTCGACGTCCTCGGGTGTCTTCGGTGCGGTGAACGGGTGGTGCGTTGATGAGAAGCCCGCTGAGCCACCTTGGCCCGGTTCACTGTCGCTCGACGGGGTGAACAATGGGAAGTCTGTGATCCAGACGAATTTAGCACTCTTAGGTGCTTCAATCAGTCCCTTTGCTATGGCTGCTTTGTGGAGAGCAAGACGCAGGTTTCCCAGCATGGTTGAGCCGCCCGAGAAGGGCGCATTAGGTCGTGCCTGGAGGACAAGAAGGTCGCCGTTTTCTACCGCCAGCGCTTCCGGGCCTTCCATCACGTATTGGTAGCCCAGTGGTCCAAGGCCTTGCATGGGCTGTGAAACATCACCGATGAAGATACCCGGTTGACCGTCGGGGTTGTCGAGGAAGACTTTTCCGTCCGGGCTGTCAAGAAAGTCGGCGACGAACTTGCGGGTCGTTTTAGGGTCATCTGATATGCGTATCTTCATGGCATCGACGACCGGATCTTGGAGAGAACTGATCTTGCCAATCAAATCGGCTGTCAGGTGTTTCGTAATGGTGTGAATCTGTACTCATTAGCTTGATGAGACAGCTAGGTAGCGTCAGCTACGCACCTTTGCCTTGAATCTTAGGTCTGGTTTGTCAGATCCATATGCAGCCATTGCTTCCTGATAGGTCATTCGCGCAAACTTCTTCTCCTTCTTTATCCCAAGGACTTTATACCACAGATCTCTCAGTAGAGCTTCTGTCTCGTGCATGACATCTTCCTCGTTAGCGAAAGACATCTCCATATCGAGCTGTTCCAGTTAGCGGAGTCTTCATCAGAGATATGATAGTACTGACCTGGGTGAACTCTGGCTGCCTGTCGGCCCTCAGATCCTCATCTCGGAAACACCTAGCAAATTGGTAGTATTTCGTGATGCCCGATGCCATGAGTATCTGCTTGTATTGCTGTGGGCTTTGTGGCAGCGCGTATGCCAATCCCTTCTGCCGTGTCGGCACGAGAAACTCTCTTGCGCCCTCAGGAGTCGATTTGAACAGTATCGGCGTTTCGATCTCCTTCCAATTGTAATGGTTCAAGTGCAGTCTTGCTCTAGCCATGGCTTTCGACCGTTGGAAGAGATCGTCGCGCAATTTCGAGTCTGTGCGAAGCTGTAGATGCCTTTGGTCGGGGCCAAATACAGTGTCATCCTTTATGATGATATCGTCCGATATGTTGTTAAGTGGCTGGACATGCTCCACGGCGATCTCCCGGGTACCGAGCAGGTTCATACCCGCGAATGTGTCGGTCTTGGCCCCTTTGCGCTCAACTAGCTTTCCTCGGACTATGACGGGAGTCCACTCTTTCAACAACCGCAGGGTTTTATGGGCGTCCGGTCCCTCCGCTTCATTGTCTAGAGGTTTAGAGACGAGTTGTACACATACGCCTTGGTTCTTGTGGCGAAGCATCGTGAAAGAGAGTTTGCTGCTAACATCTCGCCGTGCGCTGATATAACCGGAGACCTCAACTTCCGTGCCAGGAGGACTATGAGTGGCTTTATTCCATTCATCATTTAGATCCTTCCATGAGGATGGTCGAACTACGACTTGGTGAGCAAATGCATTTGATATGTCGATGAAGTCATACTAGTAGCCTTGAAATCATCAAGAGTTTTCTGCAGATTTTCATCATGATTGCGTGTCTGCGAAGTCGCGAAGCCTCGCGTTGCGTGCCCCCGACAAAGGCCTACACGACCCGGCGTGGTCCCGTGATGGGGTGTTCGACAAAACCGCGAAATCTCTGCGTAGGAGCTGCGCAAGCCGTTGTCCCGTTTCAGCACACCTCGTGAAACACGTGCAAGACTCATAGTGTATTGCAGCGAGCGATCGAGCTCTTGCAGGTATCAGCGCGATTTCGATATCTCCAACGAGCGCGCAGCCAAATCTCGAAAACACGCCAAGCCCCACCCGCCACTAGCCCCACAAAGGTTAGCGTCCGCCCAGACCATGCTGCAGAAGCTTCAAAAGGTTTCCGGCGCCCACACCCAGTTCCTCTCGCTATCCCTCCAGTTTATAACACGTAAGTCACCCTGCTGTCGCGAATTTCCCTTGCGCCAATACTAACAAACCCGCCAGATGATGAAAGCCTAGCGTGTATCAGCTGAGCAGCTCTCCTCATCCGCCTTTGAACTCTTCCTTTCGGGGGCTTAAGTGGTTCATTGGTAGATTTGGATGTGGTTGCATGACTTCCGCGTCCGGCACACACACCTTGTTACATAACGGACGCTTTGACGGCATCTCTGATTCAATAAACTGGTCGGTGTCCTATACATACCGCGCACCCCGCACGCGACGCTCTTTCGACGGCCTTTGCGGCGCAATGAACACCGCCTTCGCGATCGAGGCGCGCAACGGCGCAACCTCATACCCGGTGGAAAGGGCTGTGTATACTAAAATGGATAGCAATACAATCAAGTTTTCCATGTTGCGCATGACATGTGAGTACCGGATACGTGATGTGGGAAGTGAGAGGATGAGCTCTTGAGGACCTGCGTTCAGCGCGAGGTACTCGACGACATCATCGCCGCAATTACTGCGAGTGGAGAAGTAGACCATCTTCTATCAACTCTCCTCAGTCGGCGAAAGAGTAACGCTTTGTCAATTACCCCTCCACCAATGCTCTATGGGAAGAGGGGCGTAAAACACTTGCGACATACCTATGCAATTGTGATTCCGGTGGAAGCCATCAGTAGAGGGGCCTTGCGCGTCGGCGTAGCTTTGGACCGTGCAATGTCTGCTTCTTGATTGTTCGGACGTCGATAGACCGCTCGTACCTGGAGACTTCATCCACCTTTGCACGGCCTTGACCATGTCTCCGATGAAGCAGACATCAAGGGCATTGGCGTTCTACGTAGTGGCGTAATGAGGCTTGTTAGAACTCATGTTTCGGATCCGAAAGGATTCGTTCGTTGGTCGGCGCAGTGCGAAAGAGGTAATAGTCGAAAGCCGTCGATTGTAGGTTTCGGATCCGAATCACCTTCGTGGTGGTAATCCCTTGGCCATAACTTCGGATCCGAGACATCGGAAGCATATAGACGTTTATGCAGGCCAAAAGAGGCAATTTGTCTATAGCCACCGAATGCTGATTTCGGATCCGAGTCACCCTTACGGTTGTAATCCCTTGGCCATAACTTCGGATCCGAGACAACGCAATCAAGTGTCCTCTGGTTCGGTCGATTTTTTCGGAGACAACGCAAGCATGTAGACGTTTGCGCATTTCAAAGGAGGCAATTTGTTGAAAGCTGTTGATTGCTACATTCGGATCCGAGCCAAACCAAGCTCAAAGATAGACATCTACTCAGTCTACATCAGGCGATTTGTCGAAAGGCGTCGATTGTTGGTCTCGGATCCGAAAACGCTGGTTGCGGTATAATGAAGCCAAGGCTTACACTCCTGCATGTGATTCGGATCCGAGCCAAAGCACGCTTAGATGAAGATATCTACGCGGTCCAAAAGAAGCAGTTTGTCGAAAGCCGTTGAATGCGGCTTTCGGATCCGAGCCAAAGCAAGTCTAAGGGTAGGCGTCCACTCGAGGTCATGCATCGAAAGCCGTCGATAGTTGGTTCGGATCCGAGCCAAACCAAGCACTTCCGGATCCAGGCTAAAGCAAGGTTAAAGATGGACGGCTACGCAGTCTAAATGAGGCAGTTTGTCAGGAACTGTTGAATGCTGCTTTCGGATCCGAGCCAGAGCGGGCTCGGATATGAGCGTCCGGATCCGAGCCAAAGCAAGCTCAAAGATGAGCGTCCACTCGCATTCAGTGTAAGCCACTCACACCTCTAATGAGAACTTACTGCTCGCTGCAATGTGCACTGAGTGATGTCAAGTCTTGTGTCATTTTGTAAAGAAATAGAAGAGATCCCCTAGGTAGCGAACCATCACCATGCCCAGTCCCTTCCATCAAGCCCGCAACGCAGCGACACCCAATTACAGCTTCTCACGTATGTGGACAGAAACACACTTGGAGTATGAAATGTGGTAGGAAACAGCATGGCCAATACAAGGCGCTACCGAATATACTCTTCGGCTGCTTGTCATCCTATGCGCTCGGCGAACGGCGCGACCCTGAGCTCGAGCTAGTCGACGAGCCGGTCTATGACTCCGAGCTGCCCGACTCCGCACTCGGTCCATTGCGGTAGCTCGAGTCGGATGTCATCTCGTACGACGACGAGCCGCGGTTGTGGTGGGCGCGAGGCCGATCTTCGGGATGGTTGACCGTGTCGGATCGGTGGCCATCGAGCGTCTGCATATGTACCGGCAGCGGTGCCGCTGGCTTCTCAGTGTGGCCTGTGGAGGTAGAGAGGGTGCCAAAGGAAGGGATTGCTTGACGCTGGGTCATAGTAGGGTGTCTGGTGCCGGATCGCAGCTGCTTCGCAAAGTCATACTCGTCTGTTCCATCGGTCGCCTGACGAGCTGCAGAGGGGTTAGTGGTGTTTCCAGAAGAAGCATGGGAACATACCAGACGTGGCCTCGTAATGGGTAGAGCTTCGACCAGCTCCATGCTCGTGGTAAACTTCGCGGCCATCGTGGTCTGCGCCGGGATTGGCAGTCTCGTATTCGAGCATCTTCATCAGACGGTAGAAGATGCATGCTAGGATAGCGCCGAAGAGGGGTCCAATCCAGTAAATCCAGTGGTGTCCAGGCCATACACCGGTGACGACAGCAGGTCCGAAAGAGCGCGCTGGGTTCAGTGAGCCTCCAGTGAAGTATACACCTGTGTTTGTTAGCATTGATGTATTTGCAAACTTCGAATTTGGTACAGACCGGCCAGCTCCGCGATGAAGAGAGCAAGTCCGATGCCGATTGGCGCAACGAACGTCGCCTTGTGCTTCTCTGCCGCCAACATAAAGATGGTCAACAGCAACATGAATGTCAAGAACATCTCGATGAAAAGGCCTCGCGTTACTGAGGTTTCCTTGCTGAGGGTCGTGTTCACGGACAGTGGTCCTGGGAAGAGACCAGATACGATTGCAGCGGCAGTGATGGCTCCAAGAAGTTGCGCAATGATTAGCAGTAGGGCCTTCATCCATCCGAGTGCTCCGATGATACCCATGGCGACCGTGACCTAAGCCTCATCAGCGTGTCAACTTCTGCCAAGGAGCTTGCGTGTACATACAGCAGGGTTGAAGAGGCCGCCACTGATGCGAAAGAAGACCCAAACCGTGACTGCCAGCGAGAAGCCAAATGCCAACGAGATGTACAGCAAAGACCCAATGTCCATGGGTCTGGTACCGCGGAGGTTGTTGGCGACCTGTGTAGCAGCGAAGGCGAAGAAGAGGAAGAGGAAAGTGCCGACATATTCACCCGCGAAAGAGATGAAGAGATGGCGAGCTCTGTTGGGTAGCCACCCGAAACTAGCGAGGCGTGGCTCGCCCGGTCGATTGGGGTCCTCGGTGTATCTGGACTTCATGCCTGGCAGAACCATGACGCTTTACGAGGGGGCGGCTGGAGGTCATCAGTGTCAGATTCAGATTGGTGGATGCCACAAACGGGCTTCATACATGTGCGAGTGTGTAAAGGTAGGTCGTAGGTGATAGGCTCGTGAGCTGAGGTGGGTAGCCAAGCAGGTGAGACTTAGGAATGATATGAGTAGGAAAAGGGCTGCTGAGAGGTATGGAAGCTGGTAGTAGGATTGGGTATAAGAGGAGTTGAGGGTATGAGAGGCGTGTAGGCTGGGAAGTCGAACGAGGCAAGATATGGGAGCAGCGTGACGACACGAAGGGCGAGGGGAGGGCGCAGGCAGTCGTGAAGGTTATGTTGACGGGGTGCTTTCCGATCGAAACAGATCTTGTCATGAAGCAGAAGCCGCGAGCAGACCCAGATGATTGACGAGGAAGGAGCGGCCCATGATCAGAGTCTAGGTGACCGCGACATCTCCAGCAATATTACCTGGGAGACATCAAAAATGCCATTTCTTCGGGCAGTCTCGCTGTGCACACTGTCCATCCATGTCTGCTCTACCTCCACTCTCGCCATTGCAGATGTGACGAGGAGAGCATGTCCGCCAAAGTCGGGTGGGTGACGGCCGTGTGTAACTTTGGGAAAGGGTGAGTGCATCTATTTGCGCAAAGCTTGAGCTTCTACCACGGAGCTTTGCCGTTTAAATCTTCTCCTCATCCCAATCTAGTTGATGAGTCCTTAGAGCTACAGGATGTTTGCAGACTGGTCGTTTCCTGTCGGCACGCTCTGGACGAAAGCGAGAGGAGGCGGTACGCGGACTCACACAAGGCGTTGCAAATCATCAGATACTGTATCTCGAAAGATATATAGTGACCACGAACCATTACGACAAGGCAGACGTGGTTTTTGGTGTTTCTGACGTTTCTAGCATGGTCGAGTGCGGGGAATGGCATGCTTGGCACCCATCGCGCGCACGCGCAGGTGGCCGTGGTGCCCGTGCCCCGATTGCACCAGGGTCTCGCATCACGACATCATCGGGCGCCCACCAGCCTTTCACTCTGGAGCACGCGCTTCCTTATCGCCTGCCTCCAACGCGTTTCCCGTGCTGTAATCGCTGCGCCAGCTCTTCCTGCACATGTGCGCCGTTCGTTGTCTCGCGCCACCCGAGTAGTGACGACCTTGACGTCCGTTTATTGCCGCATCATCCATCGCTTCCTGCCCTTCACTCGCCCGCGTGACCCTAGACAGGACCACATCCCGTCTGTCTCCTGATCTCAGTCGATGCCTCTACACTCCTAGACATCCAGCACTACTTGCTGTTCTTCCCTTCTTCACCTCCTCCTGTCGCCGCCCGGCTGCTTCCGCAAGCATGCGCCCTCTCCGCCTACTGCTTTCGCTGTCTACGAGCCTGGTCGCCGTCACGCTCCTTCTATACATGGTCGTGGGAACATCGCAAAATGAAGAACAGGAACGCATCTCAGTTGCGTCGAGCCGAGGCAGTTTCAAAGCCATGTTCTCCTCTCCATTCCCCAGCTCGTTGTTCCCGCCGTCCGCGATTATTAGTTTGACCGACGATAATTCGACCTTCTTCCTCGCCCGACCCGCTGCCTTCGGCCCCGCGCTACCCAAAGGAGGCTTGAGCGGCTCTCTATGGATCGGTAGCGGGTTTGGAGATGACTCCATGGGCGCCGGCGGCGAGCTGGGTTGCAGCGACGTTCCGGGCTGGGAAGATGGCAACGATGACCTCATGCGGGTTTCACGACCATCGGGCCATTCCAAAGGAAAAGCAAAGGACACCACGCTGGACAGGAATTTACCTTCGAAAGAGGGCGTGCCTGGCCTTGGCGAAGACAACACCAAGGACGCCGTTGCGGACGATGGAACGGACGATCACCTGCAACCAGGGCTTTCCAGCACGCACATACTGCCACGAAGCAAACACGCCGATATACAATCACTACAAGAGAGTGCTGAAATTGCTGGCAAGGTTGTACTCCTCAAGCGAGGGGGTTGTGGTTTCCTGGCCAAAGTTCAATGGGCACAATCGCGTGGAGGAGTGGCTGTCATCGTTGGTGACGATGTGCGTGGCGGCGCCCTCGTTCGTATGTACGCCAAAGGTGACACCTCTAATATCACGATTCCGTCCCTGTTTACTTCGCACACAACCGCGCATCTCTTGTCTTCACTCTACCCAGGAGACGGCATGCTTTCAGATTCTGCGGCCTCTCATGCCAGCGTCAAGGACACTGAAAGTCATGCGACTCTTTCAGAAGCGCCACAAGTTGTACAGACTTCGGCCCACGGGAAGCAACACTCGCTGCCATCCAAAAAGAAGACTGCGGAGGGACAGCGCACTAGCTTTTGGCACTCATTCCTCTCTGCATTCTTCGGTCATGGTTTAAGCAACAAGTCTCCCAAGGCTGGCAGCCGACGACTTCCCAATAGCGGTGACCTGGAATGGGTCGAGGTCAGTGATTGGGAAGATGACCAAAACCCCATCAAGACAAAATCGGCAGCGCCCACGGCAATTCCCACCAAACTCGCTGACGGTTTCGTCATTGGCGGGCACGACTGGCGCGATCCTGACCTTTTGCCACTCACTGCAACTACAAGTGCATCTACAGAAGCAGCTAGCGCAACTCCAGTGAGTACCAAAGCAGGTAGCAATGCCTTGCCTGGCAGTGGTGAGTATACCCCAGCCAAGGCAAAGACCGGTGTGAAGAGCCCTTGGAGCTGGTGGTCTGGCTCTAAACACAGCACTGCGTCTTCAGCGTCATCTAGTCGTGCGCGCACTAGGAGCATTACCTCGATCATCGACGTCCACTCCGCGTCTATCAAAACATCCTCGTCTGCGACTAGTGCTCACCAAGGCCTGTGGGTCACGCTTACGCCCACGAATGTTTCAAGTAGTCCTTTCTTCGACACTCTACTCGTACTCGTCGTCAGCCCATTGGTCACTCTGACAGTCGTGTACGCCCTTCTTCTTCTTAGATCTCGTATACGACGCCGCCGTTGGAGGGCACCCAAATCTGTTGTTGAGCGTTTGCCTGTCAGGACCTATCAGACAATAAGCGATTCTTCGTCCGCGGCAACATCTAGCGCTGCTTCACCTACTACTCCCTTACTTCAGCATTCTGCAACACGTTCTAGATCTCCCGAATCTCGATCGCGCTCGACTACCGTGTCAGAGACTCCCGCCACGTCGACATCGGTGCAGCATGCATCTCGTGACCGCGAAGAAGAAAAGCGAGAATCTGGGCTGGCTGCGTGGAGACGACGCTATGGAGGCCGTCAACGAGAATGCGTTGTTTGTTTGGAAGAGTACGTCGACGGTGTCAGTCAGGTCATGAGCTTACCGTGTGGCCATGAGTTCCACGCGGACTGCATGTAAGTTTTTCTTCCATCCTATCGACATAATCGATCTGACGTGAGTAGAACACCTTGGCTTGTCACGCGCCGGAGGACTTGCCCCATCTGCAAAGGCGATGTTGTACGTTCCTTGAGTCGAAGCTGGCACGATCGGCTACAGTCAGCATCACCAACGCGCTCGCCCCGACTATCTATCAGCGAAGAAGACGTACAGACCGAAGCTGCTGAGACTCGCAACATGTCACCTTCCGCGTCGCGACCTGTACCCATGTCCAGATCTGGGCCCGCCGATCCGTCTCCGCATGATGACGATGTTGAAGCCGGCTGGTCGGGGGACAACTCTCGGCGCACCTCTGGGGAGATCCCGCGAGCTTCCGAAGCGGGTCCCTCATTGCGTGAGCTAGCTTCGTCTGTTTCTACTGTAGTCTGGCGCGGCGTCGACGCAGTCCGAACGACGACTGGCCTCCAGCGACGGTCTCCGCCTGAAGACGTTGACAGAAATAGGTGATTTCGCTATTAATGAGTTACGGTTTCATATAATGGTTCTTGGTTGCATTGAAGGCCTATACCCCTGGGAAGCACACCGGCGTTGCATCTGAGCTTGCATTGGTCATAGACATAATTACACGTCAGCGAGTGGCTCGCTTGAGAACGACTTGGCATAGCCTTACGCACCCTACTCAATCGATAAGTCACTCCTTACAGTTGCTGAATCTCCGCCTAGTGAAAGCTCAGTAGGGGTTGTATTGACTAGTCCTTCTTACACGAGAGCCTCAGCTTCGCATGTTGTTGCTGCACTGCGTAGTAGTACGACCAATGCGTGTGAAGATGAGCGTCGTCTGACGTAGTACGGAAATATAACCAGGCTCATGGCAAGAACGACGGCCTAGCGCCTTGGCGTCAGCGGCCCGCGTAAGTCATCCCTGAGCTCAAATCACCCGCGTTCTCTCGCATCCGTCCGTCACTTTTGCCAGATTTGTTCACCCGCGGACCTCTCATCGTCGAGCTTCGAGGACAGCAGACCCGATTCGTCCTCCACCGCGACTTTCCTCACCATCAGCATAGCTTGGCCAATGGCCATGTGCTTTGCGGCCACACCACGTGAGATCACCCTGCGACAGGCAAGACGACTGGAAGGGCGTACGACGTCCCGGCTGAGAGATGGAACCCCGGGAACCCTCGACTGAATACCCGGCACGCATATACAGTACCTAATATACCCATACAGAGTTGTCGTATTTCAGCCGCAAAAGCCTCCGTTCAATCAATATGCCGTCCCACCCAACAGGAAGCAAATGAGAGCTGACTCCAATTGCAACGTGCGACGGTGCCTGGATCCGAAGGCTCCTTCTATCATGATCTGCACCCCGCAATCGATAACATTATTCATGTTGCGCGGGTATGCGGAAAGTTAACTAGTGCTAATTTTGGTCTCACGTCACGGTTTCGCGCTTGCTCCCTAGCATGAGCTTAAACATCCAAACATCATTGCGCAATTACCGGACTTTTGACCGAAATAAAACGTCGCCCCGTCTGACGACACTGTTGGTGTTGTCTTAGGTAGTGGCTGGAGGGTACTTCCCTATACGAAAAATGCAGCATCATCACATAGCGGAACGCGCATGCCTAGGACGAACCGCCAAGAGCTTGGATGGCAGCTGTGAACTCGTGTTCGCCAGAACACAAAGTTTGGTGGCTTCGGAAGGCGTCGTCTGGTCTCCTTAGGCCACTCTGCGACTCTGACATGTCTTATAGGCTTCCTTGGCGATGAGTGTAAGATGACTACGCTGGTAGGTGAGACCGAGTATGCTTTCAGGGCGTCCAACGTGCTTTCCGAATATATATCCGGTCCGATCTCTACCTGCTAGACATTCAACCTCCAAGGCATCTTCCGGTACCACCGCATTCTTATTGATTAGTGGTCTTCTTCTTGTTGACAATGAAGCTTCTCTTCTTCCTTCTTCCTCTTTTCGGAAGCGCCCTTGGGCGTGCCCTTGAGTCACCGCCAGACAGCTGTGTAGCGACATGCCCACCGCCTAACTGCCCCGGCGACAATGCATTGGTATGTAACGTCTGGCTGAATCATATGACGCCAATCATTAACGAAGATTGTCACAGGAAGCATGCGCGTGCCTCAACCAGCGAGAGTACGATTGTAAGGCGAGATGCCCCGAATACGAGCCCCGTATTCTGGTAAGCTAGCATCTCACCCAAGGACATCACAATGCTCATCACAGATTTAGCACTGCCCTAGATTGCCTGTCAGCACGCCAGAGCCCACACCCACCGAATGTGTGTGCGAGGAAGTCTTCTGCATCCTGTCATTCCCCGAAGGCTGCTACTGTCAAAACGATGCAAAGAAGGCATGCTTTGAGAAGTGCGGCGGCGAGGAGCCGACATACCAGGACTGCAGTATCCCAATCGACACCGTCAAAGCTCGCGCCCCCGAGCCGGAGCCCGTTCCAGAGCCTATACCTGCGCCAGTACCAGCACCCCAAGATGAAACATGTGTCTGCGAAGATGTTATCTGCATTCTTTCTTTCCCTGAGGGCTGCTACTGTCGCAATGACGCGAAGAAAGCGTGTTTCGAGAAGTGCGGTGGTGAAGAGCCAACCTACGACGACTGCACTGTCGACAGCGTAAACCCCCAGCCCGCACCAACACCAACGCCATTATTGCCAGAGCCTATTTGTGTATGCGAGGGATATGTATGCATCCAATCCTGGCCTGAGAGTTGTCTTTGCCGTAATGCCGCGGACAAGGCCTGCTTCGAGAAGTGTGGCGGCGAGGAGCCAATCTACCAGGACTGTGGCGTCGATCTCACACCTCGTGCCGCAGAGCCCGTACCGGAACCAGTACCAGAGCCACAAGATCAAGTCTGTATCTGGTGCCCGGAAGCCGATTGCACTCTAGCTTTCCCTGAGGGCTGCTACTGTCGCAACGACAACGCGAGAAGATGCTTCGAGGAATGCGGTGGTCCAGAGCCGATTTACGAGGACTGCAGTATCGATATCGCACCTCGTGCTCCAGAGCCCGTGCCGGAGCCAGTACCCGAGGCACAGTCCGAGGGTTGCATGTGCGAGCCAGTCTTCTGCCTTGGGCCCGGGTCTTGTCGGTGCGCCTACGATGCAGCGGTAGCGTGTGCCCAGAAATGTGGTGGCCCCGCGCCGCCTGACTTCTGCCCTCCTCGCCCCGTCGAAGCTCGCGAAGCGAAGCCAGAGCCTGTGCCAGAAGCAAAGCCAGAGCCTGAGGCCGAGGTTTGCACTTGCGAGCCCGTCTTCTGCATTCAATCGTGGCCCGAATCTTGCTGGTGCGCCTACGATGCAGCGGCAGCATGTGCCGAGAAATGTGGTAACCCCGTGCCTGTCGACACCTGCCCACCTCGTCCCATCGAGGCTCGTGTCGCAGAACCAGAGCCGGTCCCGGAACCCGTACCTGAGCCACAAGAAGAGTCATGCGAATGCGAGCCCGTAGTTTGCATCGCACAATGGCCCCAGTCTTGCTGGTGTTTCTACAACGCGGAAGTGAGGTGCGCCGCAAAGTGTGGCAAGCCCGCACCACCTCCATCAACCTGCCCTCCACTCCCCGTCGAGGCTCGTGTAGCAGAGCCAGAGCCTGCTCCTGCGTCCATTCCTCCTCCCCCTCCTCCTCCAGTGTGCGAATGCCCTCTTGTCAACTGCATCTCGACACAGCCTGAGCTATGTGAATGCCTAAATGCTTCTGCACAGAGATGCTACGAGCTTTGTGGTGGAGAGAAGCCCGTACCCGAGGTAAGTCAACTTGTTATTACAAAGTCGAAACCAATCTAACAAGATGACAGATCTGCCCACCCAGAGCCAGCTCCACATTCTCAACCAGCATCATACCCTTGCCAACTCCCGTCAATCCTCGCCAAGCTACCCCCACCAACCAGATCTGTGGCGGCGGTCGCGCAAGTCCTCTTCAAGAGTGTCCCGCAGGCCAGACTTGTATCACTGACCCTTTCACGCCCGGCTCCTGCGGTCCTGCTTGCGATATGCTAGGTATCTGCGTCAGCGAGAAGCTGTGCGGTGGTTTTGCAGGCTTTGAATGCGATACCCCTGGCCAGGTCTGTGTTGATGACCCGAGGGACGATTGTGATCCGTTGAATGGCGGCTCGGACTGTGGTGGACTGTGTGCTTGGCCGCAGTGAGCCATTGAAATAGGCGGTTGATGAGAAGGACTTTGGAGGTGAAGAGCGCGCATGTCAGGGGTGTAGATGTGTTGTCATTCTTTACGACATTCTTTGATTGATATTAGCGACGATGTTCCATTCTTTTACCAAAATTGCAATCGTTTGATCTCTCCAGACCTCTCCCGGAATTGGTCTCTG